CGTGGCTGTGATGTGTCCCTCCTGGCTGATGGAAGAGGTGGGAACGCGGAGCGTGCTGCCTTGCTTGGTGGGGGTGGAAGCGATGTGAGACCCTCTGCGCTCCCAGCAGTGCTTCGTGTGCTGAGCTGCTCTCCAGTGAGCTGGGTGGCTGCCAGCTTGGCTTCCTCTCCCCAGCATAATGGAATAAGCCATCCCCAGTGCCCCATCCGAACCTGTGCTCCACCAGATTCCCCCTACTAGCCCCCTGATGCCGTTCCTCAACACAAACACAAACGCGTCCCCCGCTAACGGGGCCGGCTTCCAGCCTAGCTCCCCCTCTGTCCCTCGCCTCGTTTACATATCTTCATTTGTCAAGCATCGGCTGAACATTTCGTAGGCTGCCTTCTCCCTTGCCCTCCAGAGCTACGAAAAGGTCACCCGTCTAACAGGGAGAGGCGCTGGAAATAAACTCGTGTGTTTTCTCCCTGCTCAGACATCAGATGTGACACGGGGAGATGAACCAGCTGCCAGGAACCCGCCTGGCGTGCGCGGTGCTGCGCCGTGCTCTGTCCGGGCTCTGTCTGTCTGCCACAGATCATCAGCTCCTCCTGTTTCAGCGCTGCTCCTCTTGGTGCTGCCTCGATGCCGTGGGTGCGTTATTTCTCCTCGGAAGCACCGACGTGTGCCTGCGTATGGAAAATCTCAAAGACGATGCACGCAGATGTCCAGCTCCCAGACTCTCCTTGGCCATCCATTCCTGCAGGTGTGTAAGGGTGAGGGCTCACAAGGTCTGCTCCTTCCCTTGGAAGCTCGGGATGTGCTGAGATGTGACAACTCCTGGAGAGAGACCCCCGTGACACGCAGTAGCAGCTCCCTGCCTGCGGCGAGGGAAGCGCGCCCAGCCCCAGCCGTTATCTCGGTGTGCGCTGTCGCAGCTCCAGGGACTCTGACCTTGCTTTGAAAGGTATTTAATGCCTACAAGGAAGATACAGTCAGAACAATTCCCTTTCACCAAAGTGAAGCATGGCAGAGAAAGGAGCGAGGGGAAGGAATGGGAGCGGGCTGGCAGCATTGTGTCCGCACTGAGGAGCTCAGTCCCGCAGTGAGGTGCCCCGGGAGCCCTGCTCTGGGTGCTGGACTCGAACCTCTTTTGAGGGTGGCGAGGCTGGAGAAGGACCAGAAAACGCGGTTCAGTGAGGCTGTGATGGCTCTGCTGTCCCCTTTCCCTCCTTCACAAGGACATCCCGTTTACTGTTTGCGTAGCTCTGATTTGGTGTTGGAGCAAAGCCTTTACAGCAGCTACAGCAGCGCCCCTGCCTGCGCAGCCCACCAAAGGTGGCTTAGAGCAGAAACAGAACAAGGGAAAGATGGGAGAGAGGAAGCCCCAGGCTTGAGGCACAGCGAGCAGCTGTCCAAAGGCGTCTGAAGCTTCCTCACAGCGGTCTCCCTAAGCCTTACCCATCCCTGTCTTTGCAATGGACAAATCAGTGTCCTGGGCTTGATTCCTCCTCTGTGCCAGGAACAGGGCTGCACGTGAACAGCTTCTGCCTCCTGAGCCCCCTTCTCTTTGTCTTGTCTCGATGAGCATCACAATGAAATCTCATCCACGGCCGTGGTTCTCGGATGGTGCCACAGTGCCTGGTCACAATGCAGACATGTGCTTTAAATACCGTGTCCTGAGGCAGGTGGCACCTGCCAAGAAGTGGGTTTAATTCTTTGTTAGTGCAGGCTTTAGGAGCTCAACCTACCCCTAGGGTGTAGCTTTGCCAGCGAGGGATTCAGGATCATGTGCAAGTGCACGTAACCCTCCCGTGCTGCTGCTGGTGGCAGTTGTGGCTACTCAGAAATGCAGAGCGCAGATGTCCCCAGGGCAGACTTCACCCAAGAGGAAAATTTCAGGTTTTTTTAACATCTGTTTTTATCCCCAAATTGATTTGAAATGTATGAACTTACACCAAATGTGAAACTCTGCAAAATGTCTGCTTCCTCTAATCAGAAGGACGGATCTCAAAGCCCTTCAGTAAGGTGGAACAACTGCAGTAGGGATGTGCAGAACTTGCCCTTGAAAAACGGAGGTAAAATATTCCATTCTTTGGATTTTTTATTTAAGAAAAAGCAATAAATGCAATGTTTTCTGCAAGAGGAGAATTTGAAGATACATATTTTGCAGTGGACAGTGAATCTGATTGGAACTGGAGAAGTCGAAGGGGAAACTGAGGCACGGCTGAAGCCACACAGTCAGGGGTACAGTAGAGTCCCCACAGAGCCATGGCCAAAATTCCTGAGGACGTAACTCCTGGAGCTGCTCTCTGATGACTGCAACACGCCACGCAGAAGCTTTTTATCCAATGCCTTACACAAGACCTTTATCCAAGTAGGACTTGTTTTCCAGGCTGCAAGAAGAATTTCAGATTTTTAACCACTCCGCAGTGAGCTGCGTCCTGTCGGCTTTTCCTGGAGCTCTCTGATCGCCTGGCCCACCCTGAGCAGCCTGCACGAAGCACCCTGAGGTGACACCCTTGGCCACTGACTCGAGGGGGAGCTGTTTGCCTGTACACAGGGAGAGCATCCGTCCTGTGAACAGGGAGAGCTCTGGTCCTTTTCGGGCCCTGGGGAATTGCGGCACGCTCAGCAATGTGCACAGGTTACACGCAGACGTCTGCCCCATCTGTGTGGTTCCTGGGCTTGCCCTGCTGGTCACAGAGGTTTGCAGAGACACCTGAAGGTGGAAGGCGTTTGGCAGTGAGCCCCGCACTGCTTTCCCAAAGATAATTCAGATTAAGGAGTGAGGGGAGAATTGGGGCTACCTGGAGACCCCGCGATGGCCACACGAGCTCCTCAAACAGCGATGCAGAGCTGGGCAGATGCCCCAGGAGGACATCAGCCTTCCCAGAGCCACTTTCCATCTGTTAACAGAGGCCCTGGGGACAGCTGGAAGGTGTGAGCCCTCCTCCCTCCATCCCAGCACAGCGATGACCCATCTGGCCACCACCCAGAGCCAAGGTGTGGGGATTCCCACTCTTGCTCAGCCCCGGAGCCGTTTCATCTGCCTGAAATAGAGCAGGGCTGAGAGGGAAACAGGAACGGGAACAAAGCTCCTCCCGCGCTGCAGGGCCAGCGGGGTCGATGGAGAAGAAGCTGAGGGTGAAATCAATTAATTCATTCATTACGGAGCTGCTGCGGCTGCAGAGATATTGCAATTGTGCTTGCTGGGAGGTCCTCACGAGAGAGACGTCTCATTTCCATCGCGGTCCCCAACGGTAGGTCACAGTCAGACAATTTCATTCCTGCTGAGGGAGGGGTAGGACAGATATCCCGAGGATAACGTACCCTCATGAGCCTGGACTGGCAGCAGGCTGGGTGAAATCAGAGCCCGCTTCCACCAAGAGAGATGAGGGGCAGAAAAACCCAAAGAGCTGGGCAGGGGCAGGTGAGTGCTATTTTCAAGGCTCTCAGAAGGAGCAAGTGAGGCTGGAAGTGGGCTTCCCATGGGCAGAAACGTTTGTCATCGTGCAGCTCTCTCTGGGAAGGGTCTCTGGGATGGCTCAGTACCCGCAGTGCAGCCTTTCAAGCCCCTTCGTTAGGACTCCAGCAGAAGCCCTGTACCCTCTGCCCAGCCTCATCCCGGGGGGCTGCCCGGCACGGAGCTGCTCTCGTGTCCGTGCCCACCCCGTGGGCTCCGCCACCCATTCTCTGCCTGCTCTTGTGAGTGAAGTTCAATGAATTTACATAGAAATCCAGGGCATTTTAAAAGGACTGAGGTGGTCTGCTCACTGAGCAGCTCTTGTTGCAGGCTGCGGGACCCTTTTCTTGTACCTTTTTGCCTCAAACTGGAGAGCAGGGTGCTGCTTGCTTAATGGCGGTGGTGATTTCAAACCTTTTGCTCCTTACAGGGAGATTTTCAAGTCCTACAATCAGGAACTCCAAATCTTCTGAAGATACACAGCCATTTATTGCAGGACTCGGCTGGGTAATGTTTCAGGGAAAAAATGTCATCCTGTCTGAACACACCACGTTAGCAAGAGAGGAAATGTGCCTATCGACAGATGAATGGACAGAGAGAGCCTGCAATTCTTGAGAACTAACCGGGACTTTTCAATCATTTCTATCTACCTGACAGCAAAGTTCACCTGTGAAGCAAGGGCAGAGTCAAAACAGCTACAGCATAATCTGAAAAACACTGAATTGAACGGGGCTGTGGATAAAAGCACCGAAGTGCTGATGAATCGGGTTCATCCCTTTTCTACATCGATGACACGGATTGCACCAACAGTCCCGGGCTGGGCTGAGACCCCAGGAGGAGCATCACGTCACAGGAGGAACAGACCGACATTTCTGGGAGTTTCAGGGACAGCAAGGGGGCAAAGTAGTGAGTGCATTTCCCTTCTTGTCTCTGCGAGCAGAGATTTTCATAACATGGAACAGACTTCCTCAATTCTGAGGGAAGAACAATGCACGGAAACATCATTTTGTATAGATCTGTGTGAAAAATATGAGATGCCAGCATGATGTGAAACTTCGTGAGGAGCTTGTAGTCAGGAAGGAGTAGTCAGAGCTACAAAGATTTCAGTCCACTGGGGGTGGATGTCTGTAGATGTCGGTGGTTGACTGTTCGTAAGAGCATCGTGGCCCCATTTCATATGGGCATGTGCTGGGGGTGGTGCATGAGCTGTGCCTGGAAAATTCCTTGGGCTTCCAAATTGTGAGGAGAAGAAAGAGGATAAAGACTTAGCAGAGCCTGTCAAAAACTGAAGGTTTCGTGTTCCCATGTCCCATATTCAATGCTTTTTTTTTTTCTTCATTTTTTTTCGAATCTCTGATACTTATATAGAGATTTTTTTTTTTTCTTCCATCCCCATTTTCAGTACCCAGCCAGGAACCACAAGTGCCAGAAATACCTCTGAGGGATGTCTGCACAACCAATGGGCCAGTTCCACAGCCCTTAATGGCTTTTAGTGGGACTTGTGTGTCCCTCTCTGCCGTGCTCCAAACCAGGCACAGCGAATGACAGTGACAGAAAGCTGAGATTTAGTGCCCAAAACAAACCCTTTGTTATGGAAGAGACCAAAGGGGGGGATATTTTTACTGCTTTAAAATCTTCTTCAGTTTTCAGATCTTTTATCCTTAATATAGCTACTTCTATTCTTAATATAACTACTTGTCAGTGACAGAAGAAAGGACATCAAAAGTGTGGCACACAGCTGACTTAGGACCGAACTGAATAACTCTTTAATGACGTGTGTCTTTACATAAAGATCCCACGTGGCCGCTTGTGCAGTCCACCAAATCAACAATGTTCAGCAAGACAACTACAAGTGAGGAAAAAAAATTAAAAAAGGAGGAAAAAAACATCATTTGAAGTTCTCTCTGGCTTGATTGCCTCAGCTGTTCAGACATGGGGGTTCCCACAGGCAAAAGCAGAGCCCCAGTTTGCCCCTTCGGACATCTGCCTGCTCATGAAAATGCTCCTGAGCATGGTGTGCTGCCCCAACCCAGCTCATCAGTGGTCCTGAGCGTGGTCAGCCTCTGATTTTCCAGAAATACACAGAAGAAAGCACCACCAACAACCAGTTAACAAGTGGACCCGAGGAGCAGAGGGGCTGCTCCTCTGCTGCCCCATCCCCAGCCCCCTGCTGCCAGCTCTGCACCAGGGACAAGTGGGGGCTGCCTCTGAAAGCCTCCAGCCCACGCGGATTTAAGCAAAGCTTTGGATGGCTGGGGGGGGGATCAGCGTTAACGGAGCGATTCCACGGGGCAGCACAGTCAGATCCCCCCTCCTTCCTTCTAGTTTTTCTTTTCTGCAAGAAAAACGAAATCCCCAAAGCCTGCCTGCTCCTTTCAGGAGGGGGGTTCGTGCTCTGCCTAAGTGAACTCTGGTGTTGCTGGACTCAGGAGGAAAAAAAAAATGAATTAACCCAGAAAGGCCTTCTGCTGCCAGCGTGCTGATACATTTCTTAAGGGAGGGAGGCACAAAAGGACTTACTTTCTTTGTTCCTGCTGCAAGGTTTAATCCCTCTTTCCTGGTAGGATTCTGCTGTGCCCTGAAACCCAGCCCGAGGTGTGTGCCATCCCCGTGGCTGTGCCGCTCTGTCCCTGCTTTGCGTGGCTGTGTTTTGAGCTACAGGGACGTGCAACCTTCCCTGTGCTCTTTGCTCCCACTTTTAGCTGTGCTGATCCTTTATCTGCGCCTCTCTTCACTCCTTTGTATCGTTTCATGATGTGATTGCAGAGGTCGAACCAGGGGGCAGGAAGCCTGTCAGCACCAAGGTGGGGCTGCAGCGAAACGAGTGGGTCATGGGAGGAAATCCAGGCAAGCTAGGGAGGGCAGGAGGAAAGAAAGGCAGACTTTTCCTAACCATTTAAGACAGTTTCTCGTACCCATTTAGGAGTAGGAGCAATGGCAAGGCAGGACGTTGGCAATGCAGCAGCTTGCCATGGGTGATGCTCGCAGCACATCCCATGGAAATGTTGCATTTCCACCTGCTTTTATTTTCTGGGCTCTGGCTTGTCCCGCTGAATGGCTGCTGCGGGTCGGGTGTTGCTGGAGCAGTGCAGGATGAAGCAGAGCAGAGCGTGCACCCCCTGCACCGTGGAGATGGCTCTCATGTTCTATGCATTATGAAAAAAAAAAAAAAATCACCTGTGACAAAAATAGCACGAGGTGATGTCACTTACAATTATCATAATGCATCTGGAACGAAAAACCATCGGGGATACCAGGTGATCTTCAATCTGACACTTTTTTTTTCTTTTTTTTTCTTGAATCCCAGATTTAGTAATTGGAAGCAGCTTCTACCGGAGTAAGGAGGACGGGGTTGGGGTTCGCAGAATGCGAATTCAGGAGGGGGATGCAGGGATGGGTGCACATATAGGTGCCCATTCCTTGTCCCCCATCCCATGCAGGTTTCTGCACAGGTTCGTGCAGTGTTGGGGCTGCTGCTCGCCCTCCTCAAGCTGGGAAGTGGAAGCAGCCACTGAAAAGATACAGCCTCGGCGCCTCCCCCCTTGATGCTACCCAAACTGAAGGGAAGGACTGGCAGAACTGAGGACAGGAGAGCCAGGCAATTTGCAGCCATCCTGGTGCTGATAACATCGCCGCTTCCGTGGGATGGTAGCACTTCGGTGCTAAGAAATGACCCGTGCTGGGAGCTGTGCGGCATCTTTCCGTGCAGCCTGGCTGGGGCCATTCCAATTGAGGATAATAAACGAGAGAGGGAACAATATAAGCGGTGCTATAAATAATAATGCTGCAATTCCACTGATGGCTTATGGTGGCATTATAAATGATCGGAGCAAAGTCAGGAGGTCTCTTCACACCACCAGAGCCTCATGCTGGAATTATAGATCTAATTTAAGTGCATTTTGGGGGTAAATTATTTATTAAAGTGTAAAGCTTATGGAGATAAATGTTCAAGTAGTCAGGCTCCTGGACTAGGTGAGCGTTCCTGGTCCTAATAATTACAGGTGGAATTTGCCCCTGGGCAAAAGGGCTAGATCAAGTTTTTAGCAACATTTTAGATATCCAGGAGCCCTGGAGGACACTTCTTGGCACGGGGGTGCAATCTCTAGCCCTGCAATGAAATGGCTTCCTCGTACAGGCGATCAATTCTGAGCACCAATTGCTCATATGTCCCTTTTATTCATTAGGCTGGAGTTAGGAGACCCGAGCAGGGAGAAACATTCCTCAGGCTGGTGAAAAACCGTAGATATATTGGGGGTGTTATCTTACAAATGTTTTAAGTCTTCCTGCATTATAGCCCCAAAATGGAGTCCTGGGGCTGATGTTTTCATCTCTTGCTGTGTATTTCATTCTAGTTTTAGTCAGAAGTTACCATTTTTACCAAACTAGGCAAGCAGCCACGGGACCACGGTGAAATTCTCTCTGCCTCTGCCTTCTTTGGTGACCTCAGGCAAGTCACTTCAATCTATATCTCAAAAAAATAGAGAGAGACACGGGATATATCAGGATATTTCAGGCTCTATCTGCCCAGCAAGCTGTAGGTGGCCACGGGGACCTCTCTATACCTGGCTGGCTAGTTTGGGAGCCTGTACGTGGCCGGAGCACAGAGCCCAAAGGACCGAGCTGAGGCTTTACCAGCTGCAACCTGGAGCCTGCCTCTGGGATGGGAAGCGGAGAAAGACGGAGCTCATCTTCTCTCTGAGTCTTCTACAACATAAAAATTGTCCATGGAGCAGGAGCCTCGAGACTGCCATGCTCCACTGGGCTGCAGTAAGGATAAATACATTAAGATGAGGTATTAAGATACAGTGGTAATTAGGAGCCATAGAAGTAACTTAGATATAGAATGAAGCTACTAATAATGCATGAATGCAAAGCCTTAAGAGGTTTGCTTCATATAAAGCACCCAGCCATTCGGTGGCTTAGCTCAATTCTCCGAAGCTGCAAATTCAGGCTGAAAATCTTATGAGGATATGCTCTTTCAGGGAGATTTTTTTTTCCCTTGTCATACTTAAAATATTGCTGAGGCCAACTTTTTGTCTATAGGCAGTGTTTTTTCCATAGCTTCCAGCCAGACTAGAAAATGTTGAAAGGCAGGGAAAATGTATTTAGGGAAAAAAAAAAAAAAGTAAAACCTGAACTTAGAGGGGGGAAGATGCTGATTAAGGGAGGGTAGCTAATGGTCAGAGCAGGGAGATGAAGATGGAATCAGTATTCCTGCCACTAATTCACTGTGTAACCTTGTGTCTGTCACTGAGCTTTTTTTTTGTACTCTGTTTTCCTCGTCAGTAAAATGAGTATTATAATAGTTACCTTCCTGATAAGGGTTTCAGTTAATCAATTTCTAAAGCCCTTAAGTACAGAGAGACACGAGATATCTTATCAACAAAGTCCAGCATTTATCTGTGCCTGGATATTCTCTGAACTGCGCCGTCTGTAACTGAATAGGAGCTGATCTATATAAACCACAGCAATTCCTATCGACTTTGATGAATAAACACTATTTCTTGCAAATAATACCCATGTGTTTTTTGTCACAGGCAGAATTTGCTTCTTAAAAATGTGTTTGAAAAGCAAATTTAAAAGGTTTCAGGTGGGTTGGTAGAATTAAACTCCCCTGATGACTGAATTGCTTGCACAGTTTGCCTGTGCTGCTCTTTGTAGCAACTCGAGTCAGTCTTTCTGCCGCTGGTGGTAGCAGCAGACAGCAAAAGCACTACATTTATTTTTGCTCAAAATTCTGAATTTTAGCCAAGGAAAAAAAGAGGAGAAGGAAATAATGAACTTTTGACAGGCATTTTTCAAACAATAGAATAATAAATCATGGTCTGGGAATGAAGATCCTTTCTTACAGGAGACGAGTAAGGAGCTTAGCTTTTTTAGCCAAGCAAAACTGAAGACTGAAAAAGAGGAGGGGATTGTTGCACATAAGCAGATTGGGGCATAACAGCGGGGAAGGAAAGGAGCTATTAAATCTAAAGGACAATGCTGAAACAAGAACAAATGGGTATAAACAGACCATTAATAAATGCAGGCTGGTAATTAGAAGAGTGTGTCTAAATATCTTAAGAGCTGGATTACAAATAGCCTTTCCCGGGGAGCAGGCAGGTGAAGGAGCCCACCCAGACGGAAAGGAGAGCCCCAGGTGGCAGCCGGGTGCCTTGGGGAGAGGCATGGACCCAAATCCAGCTCCCTACCTTTCTTTGCTTGGGCAAGTCAACTGACTTCAGCATTTCATCCTGTGCACTCCATCTCCAGGAGAAGGGAGAGGATAATCTCCTTTCTCCAAAGTGCCTTTCTACATTTATCATGGCTGGATTTTAAATTGAGGAGGTAGCTATCGCATCACCATTACATCACATACATCTTTCTTCCATTCCACCCTTTGCTCCACAGCCAAGTGCTTTTATTCTCTTCCATCACTTCTCTGCAGTTACTGCCCCATCCTTATTCCTTCTCCCTGCCTTGTGCCCCCAAACGCTTTCAGACCTGCCATTTGGTAAGTAACGCAGCTGCAGCTGGTGCTTACAAGCTACAGCGCAGGTGGAGCAGCTTGTGTTTAAAATGTGCTTCTTCCCTTTCTTACCCTGTTTGGGTTGCAGTGGTTTTCACTGCAACAGCTCTCAGCCTGCTGGAGTCCCAACAGCTTGACACTTGAATAATTTAAGTGATTTGCATTCCCCAAAGTGCATCCGAGCAGATTTATGATGAGTGTTTGTGACCTGTTCTTCTAAAGCACTTCTCTGACGTCTGTTCTTCATTAGGGTTCGCCACCTAAGTTGGTTCAGCGTGGTGATAGGAAGCTAAGTGCTATTTCTTGAAGCCCATCTGGGAAGCCAAGCTACCTATGGTGGGCTGGTGTCAGGGTCTTGATGTTCATTTAGGCAGATGAATGTGTAAGGACAACTGAAAAAAAATCACCACCACCATCAACAACAACAAAAACAACACTAAACAAACCAAAACACTTGAGAAAACAAATTCTTCCTCCAGGGTTCCTTGTCCCTCTAAGAAGTCTGCTGTGCTTCTCCATGAACTGTTGCCCACTGGTAGGTTAACACCTCACATTTATTTAGCTCTTTTTCCTCTGCCTGCTCTATTTTAGCTCATCCCTTTGGACACACAGACCATCCTCTTGCTCCTTGGACCACTCTGGTCTCCCAGAAGAGGGTGTCCCCATCTCCTTTTGGCAGAGCTTCTCCTGCTCAGTGCCAGGTTGGTTTATTTCACGTGGCTGTCCTCTGCTCTCCTTCGCACCCAAGCTGAGTCCTCCTGTGGATGCCTGACCAACCTCACCTGGCCTTGAGCATGCAAGGTTTGCTGTGTTGCTGGAGAATCCTAAATCTTGTGTTTATGACTTACTTTAAGAAAGCATCAGGCACTGCACCTAGACATATGCCTCGGAGACTGTATCATCTAAGTAGACAAGAAAAACATTTTTATAGCTGTTGGGAACTGCAGCACTTAAAGTCAAAGTGACTTTATCCGAGGCTATGTGAGCAGTTCGTGGAGGAGATGTGTACTGCAGGCTCTCTGCCCTGTGCATTAGTCCTAACGCTGTCCTTCTTTCTGAATTTGTGCAGCTACAGAGCACTTGGTCTGCGATGCCCCAGTTTGCTGTGTCTGTCTTGGTACCGTGCAGTCCAAAAGTCCCTTCTGTGCTTTGTCCTGCCCTACTCTTCAGCATTTAGCTGCCTGCCTTGAAAATTCCCTGCCTGAGTGCATTGCTGGGCACACATCCCCCTGCTCTGCTCTGCCCATTGCTCCGAAACTCCTCTCCCGTTTGGGGACTCCGCCTGATCTGTCCTGTTGTATTTGGAGGCACACCGCTCCCGTTAAGCAGCGAATCGATCCTCTGCTCCCCGTCCCGATATGTCAGGTGGGAATCTCTCCACAGCCTACGACGAGGGCTGCAGCTTCACCCCTGACCTGTGAATTGTGTCCTGCTGCAGGGACCAAGCGCTGGTCCCTCAGCCGCTACAAGAAGATGACTCCGGCCTCATTTTTCACCGGCAGTGACTGGAATGACCAATCTGCTGCCAGCTGAGGAGCGAAAGGTCAGGCCAGGTCCACTCTGTGGCTACTTGTTTTTCTCCACAGTGACCAATTTCAGACGGTAATAGAAGCATCAATAATGTCTCTGTCTTCCCTGACTGTTCTGTTTCTTTTTTTTTTCCCCCTATTGATTGAAATATTGCAGCTCTGTTTGTTAGCTCGGCCCTGTGAGGCCGGCTGAGGCGCTCGCTGGCAGCACGTGTCCCCCCCACGAGCCAGCGGTGAGGAACGGCACTAATTTGGGATCGTGGAGGTGCTGACCACAGATTGCAGCTTGTAATCTCCTTGGCTCCTGCTCTCTTGTGGCTGAGGTCTGAGTTTTCAGGGCTCTGGGGGTTGATTTACCTGGCAGCCAAACTTCTGCACGCCTGCGTGCCCACTTGGAAGCAGCAGATGGAGGCGGCTCCCCGAGGACAGCTCGCTGTCCTTCCAGTCCCCGTCCAGACTTGCAGCCCCAGCTCCTGCTGCCACAGCTGCAGATGAAGCTGAGAGAAGAGGAGCTTAAGGACAGGGTCTGTATGGCACACGTATCCTCGGGGCTGCCCTGACCATCCCTTCAACACACGGGGTGCTTTGGGGCCAGCAGGCCCGCAGTGGGAGCGCAGTGTGCTCGCTCTCCTTCCTACCCACCCTGGTGGGAAATACGGTCCTGTTCCACCAGCAGGGAGCTCCTGCTGGAGGCAGACCCACAGGCATCCATTTCTTTCCATCAGCTTTTTGCTAATGCTGTTTCAACCTCGTATAGCTGTTTAGCCCTTGGGAAAGAAACAAAACCCCACCCGTCAGAGGGCTTTGCCTCAACTCACGCTTCTTCCCTGTGGCTGGGCCAGGCCTAGCAGCACATCCCCAGCTGTGAATCCTATCTGTGGGGCTTCGGGGCTCGCTTTTCTTGGGGTAAATGACAGTTTGTAGCTGCACGTCTGGTTTAGCTGCCTCTATAGTCAAGAGCTTGTGTATCATCCTGAGCTCTCACCCCTGAGCCGTCACTGCTGCTGGCACAGGGACCAAGTACAAGAACATGGAGGCCCTGGAGTGTGTCCAGAGCAGGGCTCTGAGGCTGGTGAGGGGCCTGGGACACAAGTCCTGTGAGGAGTGGCTGAGGGAACTGGGGGTGTTTGGTCTGGAGAAGAGGAGGCTCAGGGGAGACCTCATTGCTCTCTGCAATTACCTGAAAGGAAGGTGTGGGGAGCTGGGGGTCGGCCTCTTCTCAGAGATAACCAGTGATAGGACTAGAGGGAATGGCCTCAAGTTGCACCAGGGGAGGCTCAGGTCAGAAATGAGGAGACATTTCTGCTCAGAAAGAGCAGTCAGGCACTGGGACGGGTTGCCCAGGGAGGTGGTGGAGTCACCGTCCCTGGGGGTGCTCAAGGACAGGTTGGACGTGGTGCTGGGGGACATGGTTTAGTGGTGACATGGGTGGTAGGGGAATGGTTGGACCAGATGATCTTGGAGGGCTTTTCTAACCCTAATGACTCCGTGACTCTATGACATGGAAGACAACATGCTCCGTTGCCTCAGGTTTCCTCAGACACATACAGCGGTAAGCAGGAGGCAGCTCCAATTCCTCTCAGTTTTCCCAAACTGCTGACTAACTCCCAGCTCTGCAGCACCTCAGCCCCCAGCACACTGCACCACACCGTACAGCAGCCCCCGCAGGCAGCCGCGCCTCGTCAGAGGCTTCTGGGGTGTTTAATTGGCTTCTTGGTCGCATTTGGAGTGGGTGTAAGATGTGGTGCTGGCTGTACTGCTCCGCAGCCCATATATACAGCCCGTCAGAGTCCTCCTTCCCAGAATACAGCTAGTGTTCCCTGCAACTGCTGATTCCTTTTGACAGCTAAAAACTTGATGAAATTTGGTTGTTTTAAACAAATCTGTTGCTGTGAGCACATGCTGCTGACTAAAAGGGCTCTGTAGTTTGGAGTTACTTCAGTTAATTGATATTCAAGAGAGATTATTCAGTGGTAATGCATTCATAAGCAATGTCACTGTTTGTTTGAAAAATTAAAACATTAATTTAAATTACAGTGTAAACAAGGGGAAGACGTTGTATGGGTAAGGGATTGAGAAGGCTGTAGAGTATCTTCTGTCTGGGGTAATGTCAGACCTCTATCCGTATGGGACTTGCATATTCTAAGATGAGGAGGATTGAGAACATTTGGGGCCATGTTTCCTAGCTCTTTGCAGTGTCTCGTCTCTTCATTTTAGGAGGAGATGGTGGTTCAGTGATCACCTGAGTCTTCAGAAACCTGTCAATTCATCTCTCCTCCAGACGTCCCTTAGGGCTGTGGACAGCTCTCACTGCAGCATCTCACCAAGGTGGTGGTGTTCCTATCCCAAGAACTGTTTGCTGGGATTTAAATCTGTCTTTTTTTGCTGGAAAAAAAAATAATGCAACGATCCGTTTTCACAAGACTGCCTATATCACTTCTAGTAGAAGACATTTCATGGGTAGATATTGTCATTTTCTGAGATGTTTTCCTGTACTAAAAATCCCTCCTTTAGAGACAAACAAAATGACTTGTAAGCCTGGGTCACTACAGTGGGCTATAGTGCAGCTAGAGCAATAACCTAAAACTTGGGTGACCTGGGTTCAAGTTCCTGTACTGCTACAGACGTCTGTAATGTTGAATGTTGCCTGTTCCCTCCATGGCAGTTCTCTCCTGTAGCATGGGGCTGTCAACACTTCCTTGCTTTACGAGATTTTCAGAGTATAAATACACCAAATATGTGGAGCACTCAAATACAGTGGCAGCGAGGGTCATCTAAATACTGTACTTAGGTAAGTAGGCATTATTATTTTCCATCTCCTTTATCCGTGCATGACAAAAATGTTTTCAGGAGCCATTATATACATCACATTAGCCAGAAGCAGCAGGAAAGTAATGCCCTGTCCTCGGCTAGTTTTTGAGGTGTATTTGGAGTGGGGGTGGGTATTTTATCACCGAGCCTTTCTTTGCATATTGGTAAGTAGGGTATCTTTTGCATGACTTTGTTCGTCACACTGCTCCCGATAATATTAGCAAGTGTATAAAGTTATTTACGGTGAGGGAAAATCAAATTTCCTCTCAGAGATTATTGGCAATAGAAAAGTCAGAATGATTTTAATCCTGTCCAGTACAGAGAATTCCCAGTAGCTTCAACGTGTTAGTCTTTTGTTTTTCAGAAGTTTATCTTTGGTTCCCAGTGGGTCACAGTAAACTTGATTTGGCAGAATGTGATCCCTGACATTTCTTCTAACACAGTCTCTATATCAGAAGGGAATGGCATGGGTTTTTTTCTGCCTTACAAGGGTGAGACAATGAGATTGTTCCTTAAAATGAACATGAAAACCTGAGGTGTCTACATCAGCTTTCAGTGTATAGGAAAAAATCATCTCTTTTTTTTTCTTTCTTTTTTTTTTTTTTTCTTTTCCCT